CCCAAACAAAACACTGGATAAATTTAAATCTTTCCAAAGCCTGTTGGCAGATTCGCAAGAACATCACGGCTTGCGAAGCTCGATTCCAACGCTTCGCTTTGCTCTGGTACCGCTTCGATTTGCTCCGGTTCCAAAACATTCCTGCAAGACGTCTCAGGTATCTCGAATGTTGACAAGACGTTGTCAACGCTCCTAACATAGGCCAATCATATTTTTGCGTTGTGAGAGCAACGCATAATTCAAACTCTTGGGCTTAGGCGGTAGTCCCTCCTTTCGCGCGCTCCTCGCCTCCAGGATTTCGCGCGGCCATTTTTTTCTCGCGGTTCTCTTTCGCGTCACGCACGACGGACTAAGCGAAAGAGGGACTACTCGTAGTCTACATCTGATAGACCGCAAAATTCTCCAAACAAATTGCTTTTCACTTCCTTGTACAGTGAAGGAGAATTTGACATGAGATCAAGAGTCACTTAGGGCTTTTTTCCATGCACCCCTTCAATAGAAACCCTTAAGGAGACCAATCTGGGAGTGATTCGAGCTTTATTTGACTGCTAAAATGAGCGACAGCAGTATTTGTTTTCTTCAAGTGCACCCCTAGCCCCTATGTTTGGTTGTGTCCCCNCCCCCCCCGCCCCCAGACTTAGTCAGGGAAGTAGCAAGGTCTAGCAACTGGGCGACAACTTCCGGTCACAAACTCAGCGATCACCCGAAAACGTGACGTCGCAAACCTATCCTCTCTGCTAAATTTAAGGAAAATAAAATCAGATTATCCATGACCACTCACCTAGTGCCCCATTTAGTCGAGTTTCCTCAAGAATGGCCAGCATCTGTTTTTTCCGTAAATCGGAATGTATGCGCTCTTCAACAGATCGGAATCCAGCCTCTTTCATAAACCGTTTCAAGTTGTCGAGATCATGTCGTGCTCCATTCCTCGGTCGCGGATCGTTGTAAAAATTTACATTGTTTATAACCAAGACATAGGGATTCTTGATTCCATCGTAAGTTTGATCATCTGGGAAATAATTTCTGGCGACGCTAACAACGTTCCGTTGTATATTGAAGTTTGGAGGACCATCTCGCAAATCTGCTGCAGAGCTTGAATCACTTCGATAGAACAATGACGACTTCAGAGGAGTCGATCCTACATAAAAAAAAACATACACAGGCGTAAGAATACCGTGTATCTTCGCCGAATTGACTCTGACTTTCTTACAAATTACTGTTTATGCACCCCTAGTGGTACGATCACTTGATGATCAATTACCATAATACACGTCCATCAGGACATTCGAACACGCGCTTGCTAAACCGTAAAAATACGACAAACTTCGCTTGCTTTTGTCAGCAGCTTTTCAGTATCTGACTTACGATTATTTTCCTCTGTTTGTGTGCTCCTCTCCGTGTAGCTTCTATTCCCGATAGTCTCCATTACTTCTTCACTGACGCAACGACATTCGAATCCGCCGACATCGGGGCAGTCGCATAAACGAAATCGTTCCAATAGCTGCTGAGCTCTCAAAACTTGATCACGGGCAAATTCTATACAAATACTCTTCGATAACGACCTGCATTCATCCTTCTCCATGTTTGTGAGATGGTAAACGTGCAACACTCTTGCCTAAAGCTGACCTTTATCTTTTTACAGCCACTCGCTTGTATTGAAATACAGTTTCGAATTTCATAATCTGTCAAAAATATTCATAAAGGAAGTCGCTTTGTAGGTGTGTTGACCGGAAGGTATCGTACCGGAAGGGAAACGGTTTTCGGCCGAGTGCTCTGTGTAGGGCTCAGGACGACTTTGACACAAGCGTCCTCATACGCTGCGTCTTTTAAATCTGATTGTATTCTTGATCAAGACTGATTCTCTTAGCAATAGATAATTTTTCATCAAACTAGTTGTTTGATTTTAACATCTTGCCATGCAGAATTGCGTAACGCAGTTTTATCAGGAAATCGAATGAAATGCGTTGAAGCGTTTCAGCGAGTTTCATAACTGATCTTCAGCTGGATCTACAGACTACATACACTGAGACAGATACCACTGGTTATTCTTAGCGTGCACGCACGTTGGACGATCGAAGCAGCGTAGCAGTATTTCATTTTCTGACTGATGGTTATTATTTTTCCGCGACAAGGAGTTTCATTTTAAAATATATACAGATCGTAAATTTTAAAAAGAGAACCTTTTCGTATGAAAAGTGAATAAAAGCGTTTGACGTATGATTTTAGGACCTGAACGTCCTAGGAGTAGCCGGTAGGGATTTAAACCTAAAATGTTCTTAAAATATTCTTTTTTTTTTTCTGTTCAGCTTTTAAACAACGTAGAATTTAGGAAATCATGTTTGAAACGCATTCAAATAGTGCGTGAACAAATACACGTCACTTCCTAATAGGAGATGACAAAAAAAAAAGTTGCCGTAATGTTTCGCTCATGTCTGAGATATGAGTGTACAATTTTATTTTCACAAGTAAATAAAGTACAGTCACAAAACCGTACCCAGATTTGTCCTTTGTAATAAACAAAACATGTTCATAAAGGAAAGATTCTTAATTTTAGAAATGGAAGATTAACATTTTTAACTCACCGTCAGTGTATAAAAAGTAATGTTCACATCACAGTAATGTTTCCTTGAACTTTATATAAATAAATGGTTAGTGACGATACAGCAAGGCTGGACCAGGACAAAAATAACCGGATACAAGCGAACCAGGAACTTGACAAAATTTTCATAAAGCGGGTCGGCAGACACCGCACGCAAACACAACTTGTTAACTCTTGAACAGATTCAAATTGGAAATATATTTTTTTTGTTTTTCCTTATCCCTTACTATCATACATTGCGAATTGGACATGGTAAAACATTTTTGTTGTTTTATATTTTTATCATTAATTTTCTCAAAACAAAGTTCCTGTTTACATGGCCATGGTTTAGGTTGGCACTATTAAATCCGGCCAGAAAATTTGAGGTCCTATTTCCTGGCGAACCCACAAAAATGTTGGAAAAACTCTCTCGCTGAAAAGGAGCCCTTCCAGTCAAATTAAAGATTCACAGCATTAAGATCTATTAACGTATCCCACGGTAACTTATGAGGCCAAATAAGGGGTTTTCGGGAAGTGGGTTATTGTAAGCTACAGTGAAACCTGTATTAAGCGGAACCCATGTTAATTAAGCTGACACCAGCTTCAGTCCCTAAATTTCCTTCCCACATTTACTGTAAAATAAGCCTCCATTCAGCGGACACCTCTGTTAAGCGGACGCGGACACCAATATTAAGCCATTTTGTTGCACAAAGCCTGCAATAAGCGGACACATCAAGGGAATCATTACCTCTAAAAGTTCAGCTGAGACTCCTTCAACATTGTTAAGCAATGTCGTTTTAAAGCTAAGTGATTATTCCACATTGATGCATTGACTGACTGGACACTGTGCTGTGAGCAGCCTTTGATCTCACACTGTGTTACACTGTGTTACAAAAGGGTTAATAATTAACCGTTATATTGCACAAGACGTATAAGAACCTGTTTTGAGCGGGAACCCTGTATTAAGCGGACACTAATGAGGGTCCCAAGGGTGTCCGCTTAATACAGGCCAGGTTTCATTGTAAAAGATAAACGAATTAAAAGATATTTGGGGAGAAACATTAAAGGAATTATGGGATATTCAAATCAGATATCCCGGGATATCGAGTGGGAATGATTGTTGACTTTTGAAATTGGAATTAACGGGATACCTCGTACGGAATATTTAGGCCAAATATTATCGGGATAAGTACTCAGACCCCCTAATAGGGTCTCACTTGTGACCCCAAGAAAAAATGATCGCAGGGTCTACCGGGTTATCGAAATTAAACTTTCATCATACTTCACCTGGGTGCATTCCTTCGATATACACTTCTACAGATAAGTGGCAGCGGAAAACCTGCCCCCCCCGCCTCCCCTGAGGATAAAGGATAATTCGCACGGAATACCTGCTGTGCTGCAGGCTGCGTGATCATCTTTTGTGTGTGTCATTCATTAGTTGAAGAATTACGGCGCAAAGGTGTAAATCGGGTGCCAACGACACAAACTCGAGTCACCCACTGGTCAGATTGTCTTTTGTTGAAGGATAGACAACTCACTGCTGTATAGCAAAATTTTCTTAATCTTCAATCTGGTATTCAGATAGTTTCTATGGTAGCAAAGTACTTTCAAATTTAAGCAAACTGATAAGGCGACATATCACATGCACATTGGATGATCAAAAGTTTTAAAGTGCAACTTCCGGTAGAGGGCAAGCTCACGCGACAACGTCCGTTAATTAGAACTCCAATCAAACGAGCGTGACTCTTAAATCATTCTGTTGCGCTACTGCAACTCCTTAAGCGTCATGTTGCTTCAAAATTGTTTGTCAAACAATAATAATCATATTTGTCTATATAATAAACTACTTTCAGATATCACCGGCAAACAAACGCACAGAAAGACCACCCCCTGGGGAAAACCATTTAAAGAACGAGATAGGCGCTGCGTGTGTGTGCTCCGTTTTGTTCGCAAATGTTATGCGCATTCGACCCAAAATAATTTATCTTTAGACCACTTGAACATTTATCGCATAAAGTACAAAAGCAGATCGAAGCATGTGGAAGTTTTCCGCAGTATCATGCATGGCGGAATTGCATTGTGTGCAGCTAAGCTTAGGAATCATTCAATAAAAGGGTTTTAAACCATGTGTCATTAACTATTGATGCTACTTCAACCGAAGCGATCAGACGCAGGCAGTGTAAACAAAAGCAGAAGCAGATTGTAGTTTGCAGTAAAATAAATGTTTCATCGACGAGGATGACATCCATTTCATCGTCGCGTGTGCGCGGTTTGAATTACATGTCTGGATGTTAGTTGCCATAGACCGCAAAGAAGACATCGAAGCGGTTGTCATAGTTCGACACGATTTCACGCTCGCGGCGAATAGAATTCAAAGCCAATAGGAAAGGACCAATTGGGGAAAACATTTTCTCGTAAATATCTCGCTTATTAGGGATTACAGCTGGAGTGGAAACATGGCGGATCGGAGCTGGGATAAAACAGGAACTACGGACAAATGTATGCTGGCGATGCTAGAGGATTTAGCGCCGTGGATGGCGCATATATTGAGTTCAGAGATAACGGTAGACACGCTAATGGAAGATCTTGACACAGGAGTGGTTCTGTGTAGACTAGCTAACGCGATCCAACGAACAGGCGAAGAATTTATTCTACACAACTGCTCTATTCCTCGAAAATCTTTCCCGGCTTGCGGCGTCACATACAAAGAAAGAACAGCCTTCCGCGGTTCGTTCATCGCCAGGGATAATGTGGCAAATTTTATTCGCTGGTGTCGAGAATTGGGAGTATCGGATGTTGTTATGTTTGAGACGGAGGACCTTGTACTTCACAAGAACGAGAAGTCTGTTATTTTGACCCTTATGGAGGTAGCGCGCTTGAGCGTAAAATTCGGCGTCGAACCGCCTGATTTGGTCAGAATGGAGAACGAAATCGATCAAGAAATTGAACAGCAACCGGAGGAAATCATGGTTGAACCCATGGTTCAGTTAAAGAAGATGCAAAAATCACACAGCCTGGATGATTTGGTGAGTAAAGGACGTATATTTATCATCTTGAAAAATAAAATGTCAATAGTTTATCTCGCCCTGTCTTGAATGATGAAGTGAAATTTACACACAACGAAAAGAAATCGCACAGCATGGAATAATATGCCTCGGTAGTTGAAGATCTTTACAAAATTCACTATACTACCATTATTCAAATTAGGCACGTCTGACAGATTGATTTTTTATTTCAAAGAGTTTTCATTTATAGTCATATATTGTACTTTGCTTATGAACCTTGTTTACATTACAAAACAAGTAACTCCTCGCTCTGTTCGCGGGTTTTTTTGATGTTCCACACTGTACGAAAACAAACGAAAAAGAAAGCGAGAAAACCGCAAAAACATTTGCCGTAATCCTGATCATGAAGAATCCATAGGTTTTTCTTATTTCTACGCCACAGTGATGCAGTTATAACCGCAGAAGATGCGAATCCGAAATCATTCATCTGAAAAGTTAGCCGGCTAACGAAAAACATCATGATTACTGAGAAAGAGACTGAGTGATCAAGCGAGTTAGTACGATCGACAAAATCAAGAAAAGACAGTAGATTTTATTAAAAGCGAAAAGATCTGTACGAGAAAAATTGCATTACTTTAGAGATATTTAGCATAAAGATTACAATAATTTTCTAATGTAAAGAACCCTGTTTTTGCATTGTTCACCTTGACTGAAAACTATACCATAGCAGGCAGTTGGGCGTCATACTATCGTATCCTGGCGCAGTTTTCACCGGTCTCGCCAGGTTTATATTGATATTCCTCGGAAAGGTGGTGCACTTTTGATGGGATTTTTACTAAAGGAATATTATTATGTTGTCTCGATCGTTTTAAGCTTATTATTTTGACGTGCGCTGTGCTCAAAGCTCGGTGAAGCACTTTAAACATGTGAATTCCGGAGGTTATGTTAGTCATCGTTGTGAATTGAAGAGGGAACTGGTGTAGTTTCAAATATGAAGAATGACCGTGGAAATTGATTATTGCAGATAAATCATGGTCCGTTGGAAATAGCCTTGCCTATTGATAGGTTTTTATTCATAAGAGATATCGATCATCAGTTAAAAACGTGCGATAATGTACGTATTTCATGGAAAGTGAAAATCGGTCGAGCACTAATCATTTTCCTGGCACGTCTCAAAAATTCCTACGCCTTTTATTTGAAGAATCGAAAACTTAAAATCCAATCTGATCCTTCGGTAAATATTATCGATTTCAATCGGGCGAATTTCCATCTACAAAGAAATCTCGATTTCTCGAACTCCCGATCTTTCGAACGTAACCTCTCGATAATTCAAACCATAAGTCGCTTTTCTCCCATTAGACGAAAACTGTAATTTTTCCTCCAATTTCTCAAACTACCCTATTTTTCAAACCCATTTTCGTTTCCCTTGTAAGTTCGAAAATTCGGGATTCCACTGTGTGTCTCGATATGTAAATTAATAAACCTGTAAAACTGTTAAATATTGGCTCTTTTCTTTCTTAATTTAAATGTAAAAACATGAAACTTCGAAGCCGTGATATAAAAGAATGAAATTATAAAACATATTAAATAGAACCTTCAAGAAAAAAAATAATTAACTCATGTTTTTAATACCTTTTTTTGTTGACCTGTTCGTGAGTCAACCAAACTGTTGGTTTACAATTAGTTCTTACAATAGTACTGATATACTAAGGGCAGAATTGTTAAGAATTCATAGAATTTAGATAAATTGGAGCAATAAACGCTAGTCTGTACCTAATTTTACGTTATAAGGCTAATATAACCTGTTCTGCTGTGAACGTCTAGATAGGTTCGAAGATCAAACAATTCCATGCTTAGAATCGTCGCCGCCGCAACTTTGGCTATACTATAAACATTTGAAATCTTATTAAATCCGTTTTTGACAATCCTTTGATCCTTCTGCGGGTTTCTTAAGGCCGGTTTTGAACACAAAAGAAATTGATTATATGATATTTTGTGTTTTAAGCTCCTAAGTTCCAGGAGTAATTATGGAGCGCTTTGAAATCCTCCGGTTTTGGGCGGGAAAAAATTACAATAATAATTGCGTTTTCTTTTGTAGACAACCGAACCCTCCAGTTGAGATGCCAATATTTCGCATTTACTTCTCCTGTAAGAGCAGGCATCCCATATTGTTTACAACAAAAAATTACTCATATTTTTAATATACGTATAAGGGTTTTCAGACGTCGAACTCTAAATTTCATGCCAGCTAAATGTGAAAATTAAAATTTCCCTAACTTTAAAACCTGGCACAAAACTGTTAACAATTAATAGAGAAGTAAGAAATGCTTTTACACCACGTGTGTTACTGAAGAAGTGTTACTTCGACGCTTTTTTGTGTCGCTAGAGATAAAGGTGCAAATTAAATTCCTCTTACGGATTTCAGTGAATCGATGTTAACCAGATACGAAATTTATATTTGTATCCCAAAACATGCTGGTTTGTTTTTGAGATGTAGAATAATCTAATTTACTATCGCAGACGAGTTATCAGTCTCATCGTTTGGGTTTCCGGTGCATAATTTGGATAACGAAAAATTCATTTGATAACAAGCATGGTCCGAGGTAACATGCAGGTGTACTTAAGTTTTTAAAATTCGACACCTTATCTGAAACTCTCGCGTATGAAACACTTTGCACTAGAATATTAATATATGTCTGGTAGCAAAGAGAGCCAAACATCCCGTTTAAAAAGGCTGATTCTTTTTCGATTATTTCATGTACACGTACAACTGCTGCAACTCAATCATGGATTACCTGAACGTGTTGCACACGTTTCAAAACAATTTTACCGCCTTGTATGCAAAAACGTAGGCAGACTTATCAATTAATAAATGATTTGTGTTTGGTATAAGATACGAGAGAAGGACGTCATTATCTACGTTGTAGGCTACTTTTTAGATAGCGTAAACTGATATGAGGCGTAGAGTAACCCCATTTGTTTTACCGTTATTTCTAAGTGCATGTTTACGTGTTCGTATAGTCTAGAATCTTACCACTTATCTATCTTTAAATTTTGTTGCTTTCAAGTTTGAAAACTTAAATAAGAAATTTACAAATCTTATAATGATCGGATGATCTAAAATAGAGCAAATACAACATTGTAAATAAAAGTTTCTGAACAAAATCCGGTATACAACTTTTGTTCTCGGAACATTTTGACGTCATGGCGATCGCGAAGTATGAACATCAAGTCAGAAATTTTCCTTTTCTGTCATGTACCGATCACAAATTCAGATCTTGCATCCGGATAGGAAAGTGAAAAGTGTCGTGTATTGCTTCTCATACTAATTAGAAATGTTCTTTTATGGTAAAAAAGGATGTTTTTCACTAAATCTGGGTGGATCGGAGAAGGACGGAGGTGGTTACTTTTTCAGCGTATCATCCATTCGTTTAAAATGACAAATACTTGGACAAAGAGACTGATAGTCTTACTGACTGTATTTTCTTCATTGTCGGGCAACAAGTGTGTAACTTTATTTAGTTGGTTGAATTCTGGAAACAGAATTATCAATCGGCGAAAACATCTGTTATCGTGTAACATGAGGCGCTAGCGTATGAAACTAGCATGAACTGAAAAAGCATTGTAGATATGATCATGATTTGATGGCCGATAGGTAGCGTGGCCTGGGCAGTACAAAAAATTGATATGCCTGGTTTGTGGTCTGTTATAAACAGGTTTATCAAGTATTGGAGCAATGCACGTGCCCGGTGCGGTACCCAGTCCTCCGCGTCGGAGAAGGAAAGTACCGAGTGGGAGAAGGCAAGTCGCTAATATTCGTCAGGGTAAGGAAATAAAAAAAAATGCATTTTAACTTGTTCCGCGATGGACTTTGTTTGTTTATATGTTTGTTGTTGTTGTTGATGAACACATGTTAGCAAGTAAGAAAGAAGAAAGATCACAGGCAAGGGGGCAGGGAGTTTCATTGCTTCAGTCGCTGGCTGTTGATTTGTTGAGCTGACCTTAAGTTAAATTAAGTTATTTTGATTCAGCGATGAAATTAGTTCTGGTTGTCTAAGTAACCTGGATTATAAAAATTGAACGGTATCGTTTTGAACAATACCTTGTGAATTAATCAATCTTCGTCTCAGATCAAAGATTTAAGGCCTTTTGTTCTCTCTCTCTTTAGCTTGAAACGTTCGTAGATATAGCAAGCTACTTTCAGTAAAAAACAGTTTTCTTTGCTTGTTTGCAATGGTTGTCTATGGGAACAAGGTTAAGATAAGACAAGGTTATGGGAACAAGGTTAAGATAAGCTTGATTTGAGTAGCCTGCGTTTACCCCTCTTAGGTCATGCGCAAACACGTGATGGTTAGAGTTGGCGGGGGCTGGGACACTCTGGAGCGATATTTCGACAAACACGATCCATGCAAGGTGTCAGGTAAGGCAACAGACGGTTTAAAGAAGCTCCGTCACGGTTCGCACTTCTTCAAAAGTTTGACCTAAATTTTCCAAGTTCGTCGTTTGTAATGCGTGTTAATCTTCTCCATCCTTAACCATCCTTGTTCCTTTATGGCTTATTATTATCTATTTGGTGTTTTTCTAGCTTAGTAAACCACTATTTTCAGGTTTCCTTTAATTTAAAGGTAATTTTATGAGTGGCCAAAATAACTCAAAATATTCTGACTGAGCTCCCCTAACAATCGGGGATCGAACACTATTGTGATAAGCCGTGTTGATGCCAAAATTTGGGAGTGCTGGCTCAACACTTCTGTTACTTATCTGGGAAACTCTCACCTCAAACTGGCGTTTGCATGCCATGCAAGTTTTTATTCCTGACGGCGAGTCGACCAACCTATAGCTACCGGTTGACTTGAACGAATTGATCGTCTGTGATTCACTGTAGATCCCAGTGATTTTAATAAGATGAGGTTAAGAAATTATTCGATCTATCCAGTCCAAATAATAAAAAGTAATGAAAAACCTGCTACCTTCTAGTGCGTTTTGTCTATTTTCGGAAAAATTATAAACTGTTACGTTTTCCCACACAAATTTTCTCATTCTCTGAAACCGCCCATTGATTTCATAACTTCGGCACAAACACAGAAAACATTTGCTACTTCTCGAGTACACGTTTGTTAATACGCGCATATTTTGTTCACCCTGAAACTCCTAAAGAGAGACAGAGGAGGAACTCACTCAAGTCGCCCAGATCGCGTAGTGGAAGCGATGTGATTGGCAGATCGCCGAGCTCAATGAGTATATCCAGTACTGACAGCTATGATTCGGGTAGTTATCCTGTTTCTCACGGCCGCACTGCATCCTGGACTTCTCCGCAGAGTTCCTCTTCACAGGTTTGTTTGCAGTGGTTTTATATATATATCTAACCGATTTTCCAAAAACATGCCCGCTATTCTGGTGCAAAGTCTTAACACGGCTTTCATAAATTCAGACATATATTGCCACAGAATGCCCTAAACTGCTCAGGGAATTCCCTAGTTTGACTCTAAATGCTTTAGAAAGATCGACAGAAATTACACACGCTCGTTTTTCGACCTTTCTGGGTCATGCAGTCTTGTTCCCTTAAAATATATGTCTGGATTTATGAAAACGTTGTTAAAGACTGAATCAGGTGTTTTTTGATTTATTTGTTTTTTTCATTTCTTTGTTTGTTGGTTTTTTTTCTGCTTTCGCTATGACAGCAGCTTATAAATCTTACCTAGCATGAAATGTAGAAACTCCTTGCCGCATGTTACATTTATTTAGGTATTTTTTTTCATTATTTATCGACCCCCCCGCCCCCCTCCCCCTTTTCAATTTGCGTTAAGTTTAGCCCAGGCTACGCTCGTCTGAATTCAGTTCGCGCTCTGACTCTGACAAGGAGCGACCGATTAGCGTTCTGTATTTGCAGTCTAAAGGAAGTCTGCCCGAGGACATCATTAAGTCCAATGAAGGCTCAAGTCTAACGATTTGCTAGTAAGCGTCGTCCATTATCGTACGTGAGGCGGGCCTGAGGAGATGTGTAAACTGTACGGGTCACATTTAGTCCCGT